CTTTGATTAAAACAACAACAAAATAAATGATCCCTTTAAGGATGTTTTAAGAAATGCATCAAATCAAGGAAAAGTAAATAGGATTTCTTTCTTGAGACAGGGTCTCACTATGTAGCCCAGACTAGCCTGGCTATGTAGCCTCGCCTGGCCTCCAACCTGTGTACTCCTTCCCTAGCCTCCTGAGTGCTGGGATTACATGCAGATGCTATCATCCCCCATGGGAAATAGAATTTCTAGGGGAAAAAAATCTCTTCTTAAGTGAGTATACGCTTGGCTGTGCCATTAACAGCTACTGCAATCTTGTTAAAAGGCTTTGGCTTTTGTTGGCTTTTGTTGGTGATTAGGAAATGGTCTAGAATAAAATTGACAGGCTGACATTCTCGACTTGGTCCCTAGTACTGTATGGAGCCTGAAATCTTGTCGGTTTTGGGGTGCCAGGCAAGATTTGCTCTGACCTGTTGTGGTTTTTATTGTTTGTGTCTCTGGTTGTTTATGTAGACCCTTCCTCTAGGCTTTTCATTTCAGTTTAATCCAGCAAATGTTTACTGAATCTTTATAGTATATAAGATTGCAGGGAATAAAAATTGGGAAAGAAAAAACTCAATGGTTCCTTATTTCTGAGGAGTTTAGAAGTGAATGGGAAGGACAGAACAAGTTAAAGCTGATGATTAATTATTCAAGGAAGATTCAAAGAGGGCCCTGGGAGAAGTTAGTCCCATCTTATTAGGAGAGGGAGAAATTCTATCTCTTGGGGAGCAAAGGGATCAAGAAAGGCTTTGTGGGGGTGGTTGATTTTGTCAGCACCTCGAAAAACAGACTGAAATGGATCTGGGCATTCCTAGCAGAGGTAATAGGCTGAAGTAGAAAAGGTAAAGATGGAAAGACATGGGGCCATGTTTGTGGTTTGGTTGGACATGTGTAATACTGGTTATGGTTAGCACTTTATGGGCTGCAACAGGTGCCACACATGGTTCTAAAAGCTTAATATGTATTAACTCATTTTATCTACACAGTGAATCAAATGAGGCACTACCATAATCTCCATTTCACAAAGGAGGATGCTAAGACTTATAGCAATTAACAGCCTCAGATCACACTGCTAGAGCAAGAGGCGAGCCGATTCATCTGCTCCAGGCTGTATGTGTTGACCATGAGGCTGTTCTGCCTCTGATGCGGGGAAGAAAGGGCACTAGAACCAGAAAAGTGGGCAGATGCATATGCTTAAAGGCTTAGAGTGTCAACATTCAGGGTCGCAGTGGTGGAAGAGGGAACAGAGATGGTGATGAGAGGAAATGGAGAGGTGGGGGAAGGGATGGGGGTTGGCAAGATCCATGAGGGGCCACAGAAGAGAGTCTTAAGGAGAGTTTTGTCAGCCATGCCTGGGACTTCACAGTTGCAGGAAGTGAGGACTAAGCCTAGGTCTGGGCGGAGGAAAGGAGGGAGCTGTGAGGGCCTCTGGGAGGGCAGGAGGGTCTCTCCTGACTGTGGGTACCATCTCATCTGTAAAAAGAGGCAAGTGTGACAGAGGGGCAAGTGAGAGTCTGCATTACTAATTTGACAGACCAGTGGCTTTCTGTAGCCTAATGACTTTTGAAAGCTGTTTTCTATGTGTGACTTCCCCTATCTGAATTCTGTGGCAATCGCTATTTTTCCTAGAAAATTGGGCCCATGTGGGCTCTGTGTGTGGTTTATTCGATCCATTTTTATAGCTTATTACCTTGTCCCCATGATGTAAGAAGCCTCTCTTCTGGAGCTTTGCTGTGAAAATTGTTTCTTAAAAGGCACAAAGTGTCTCTCATCATTTGGGTGGTGCTCTCTCTCCCATAGCACTTTCTGCAGACTCTGCACACACTTCTCATAACCCCTGCCACCACTTGTCGTGTTTCTCTGATTGTTGGCAATTTATGGAGAACTTTTAGGCAGCTCTTGACTCTCACTACCCAAGTGTTGGCAGATTGCTCCTTCCTGTCTGAAATATTGCCCTACCAATGACCCTGTGAGGGCCTGACACCAGTCTGGCCCTCTGGTCTGAAGTTGGTAACAATGGCAGTTAGCACTTAGGAAGCCTGACCTGTTTTCAGGCACTATGTGAAGGGATTTATATTTATGATCTTAATTATTCCCAATCACTATGAGGTAAGGACTGTTACTTCCCCCACTTTACAGATAAAGAAATTGAGTCCTAAAGGGATAGCTGTGCAGATCTAGGCCACACAGCTAGTAAATAGCATAGCTGGGTCTCAACCAGGTCTTTCTGATCTTGGAGCCCATGTGTTTGCTTCACTCATTCATTCATTCAACAATAAGTGATCGTCAACATAATGCTTGGAATTGTACTAGACCTAGATTATACAGCAAAGGTAGGGTCGGGGAGGGAAGGCAAAATTTCCTGCCTTCTCACTGAGGTTTAAGTACGTAGTTAACTGTTTCCATAACAGGAACGATGCTGAAGGAGTTCACAAAAGAAGTTGAACTTCTAGAATGGGAGTTGATGCTGTCTGTGGTCCATCTGGCTCCTTGCCTTCTGTACTTTGCCTGTTGGCATTAGTCTTCTAACCCCTTTCTGTGGGGCCACAGCTGCTGACAGCCTTAGTTTACAACAGCAGTGAAGGGAGAGCTCCTTTCTCTGCATACAGTTATCAATTCTAGAGGAAGCCTTTGATTGGCCCAGCTTGGGTGATAGGTTTGTCTTTTAGACCACTCACTGTTGCCAGGAGGGGAGTATTCTAATCTGGGCTGCAGTGTACTCCCATCCATGGTGGATCTGGTAGTCTTTTTAAGAAAGCAGAAGAAATGCATCTGGGGCAGATAACAAAGACTTTATATATAAAGTCTGTAACAGGCTTTGAAAAATTTATAGTATAGCAATGCAGGAATTCTTGGTAGCTTTAAGTAGGGAACTTGATCAAACCTAGGTTTTATTAAAATTACTGTAGACACTATATGGAATCGTAGTGGAAATAAGTGACTAGAGGTCGGGCTGGTTAGGAGCCTGCTGCTGGAGTTCTAAGGAGAGCTACTGAGACCTGAGCTAATGAGTCCTGAGTGACTGTATTTGCACTTCACCTCCAGTGAAGGATCTAAAGACAAGTAGGCAAACAAGACTTGGTGACCAGTTGGAGGCTAGAAAAAAGAGGGGCTTAAGGAGGGTTCCCCATACCACCACAGGGGTAAACAACTATGCTCAGGAAAGCTAGACTGATCTTTGGAAACTAGTTATTAAGTGGTGGCAGGTTCCATGTACCTTATTGGCTTCTTGTGATATCTTAACTGAAAGGGGAAGCTAATTGCATTGCTCTTTCTTTAAAACGTTTTCCTTCTTTGAGAAGTCAGAGAATAGAATATATCATCAGGGCTGCCAGTGGAGAAAAAGATGGATGAGAGAAGGGTACTAGTTTGAAGACCCTATTGCCTTCTCCAGGGCCTGTAGTTCCAGTTTAGAAATTCCAGTCCCTTTGGCATCACCCTTGCTGGAAATACCTTTAAAAAGCTTAATCAAAGGAATGGCATGACGTGATTCATGTTGTAACAGATTTCCTCTTCTATTGAGAAGAGACTATGGGTTCCAGTATGGGACTGGCACTGAGGGTAGAAGCAGGGATCCAATTAGGAGGCTGTTGTGATGGAAATTGTGAGAAATGGACATACTCTAAATATATTTGGAAGGTGAAAACCAGTTTGGGTAAGGATTGGATATGACTTTCAGTCTTTTGATCTGGCAACTAGAAGAATGGTGTCTCATACTGAGGTGGGCGACATGCAGGGCAGAGTAGATTTGTCTGAGGTCACAAGTCTGTGATAGATATGTTGAGTTTGAGATGCCCTACATGGCCTGCACAGAGCTCCTGTCTACTTGACTTCTGACTTGACACTGGCAGTTGGATATTGGTCAGGAGTCCAGGCTTACAGAGAAATCTGAGTAAGCGTCATCAGCATAGAGGTGATATTCAAATCCATGAGACTAGTTGAGATCACCAAGGGAGTAACAGCAAAGAGATGAGAAGAGAACTAGGTACTGGGGCCCTCTGATGTAAGAAGGGTTGAGATAAGAAAGAACAAGCATAAGAGAAAGATTTAAAATGTGTCAAAAACTTCAAGAGGAGGATTAAGGCATGATCAGTGGATCTTGCAATATGGAGGAAGGTCGTATACATGTGTTTAGACCTAATCTTAACATTGCAGATAAGTGATAGTTCCTGCCTTGAAGGGGAATATAGTTGTGCCAAGACAAAAAAAGATCATTTAAGATTGATTAAAGTAAATCTAGAAAGATGTGAAGAAAGTACCATGGGAGTCCAATAGAATGGAGCAGTACTTCTGTGGGGAGGATTGAATCAGAGTCATTCATGTTTTCATTCATTCTCATTGATTGCTGGGCCAATTGGTGTATGCCTGGCATCCTGGTACAGTGTTAGGCTTGCCTTCTTAGATTCTGGGAGCTGTTTCTGCCCAGGGGAGTGTCATTAAAAAGGTGTATTTAAATTAATCTCATTAATCTTCCACGTAAACCATTGCTTGTACAAAGCAATGAGATTGAAGCATGCATTTCTATGTTGAAAATTGTGGCCTAACAAAGTTTAGATATCCAAGCATGTATTAATGAATTGAGTAGGTTGTTTTTCTATCCAGCTACAAATATTTTTGAGGACCATCTAAATGCCTATAGTATTCTAAGGCTTTAAAGTCTATAACCTAGAAACCCCATCCCTAAACAAGAAATTATGCCACAGTGTGGCATGTGTTACTATACACGTGTCACTAGAGTTCTATGGAACCTGAGAGGAGGGGTACCTGGCCCACCTGGAACACTGTTGGTGGGGTGGGGTGGGAGGGGCTTCCAGAGAAAGACTATCCAATGGGCTTGGAGGGTAAGCAGGGGTATTGTAGGCAAAGATGCAGAGGGGTATTCTGCTTTGATGGTAAATCAAAACTTACTACACATTATGAATTTAAAGAAAATGTATATTCTCTTTTAAAACTAAACTATTTATTGCTTTCAGGTGGTGCTGGCTGGAGTGCATGCTTTTGGACCCATCCTTAACTTTTCAAATGTGGAATCTTAGGCCTTCATTGGTAAGTTCATTTGATGCTTCCTTACCAAATTATGCTATCAAGATTGGTATTTGGAATGAAGGGCAAGGTAGTTATTCATTACCAGGTGCTTTGTGGAGGTTGCCATACCTGGGCCCTAGAGAAGCCTACAGTATAGATTGAAAAGATAGGTGAAATCTCACTATAAGTTTCTAGGTAGATGCAGAGATGGAGGCCAGAGGAGATGAATGCAAGGGTGCAGGGGATGGATGCAGTTGTCTTCATAGACAAGTGGGGCTTTGCTAAATTGAAAAAGTCCAGGGAGGAGTGAAATATTTTCAGGGCTTGAGAACATGGGTGAAGGTTGTAAAGAAAGTGGGTTCAGTCACAGATCCACAGGAACAAAAGCTTCATCCAAAGGAGTCCTGGGTAAGAACTTTGGTGGGATCTGCTAGCATCTGGTTATTCTAGCCCAGGGTCAGCAAACTTGTTCTGCAAAGGACAAAATTATAAATATTTTTGCCTTCATATGCCATGTGACCTTGCCACAGCTACTCAACTCTGTTTGGTCAAAGAAGATGAAAGTTTAAACTTGGTGGTTCACAGTGGTATCATTCATTGACAGCAGTGTGGATGTTGGAGTTGGAAAGTGGTAATTGGTGCTGGTTTTATTTTTAATTAATTAATTAATTAATTTTGCAATGCTGGGGATTGAACCAACTGTCCTACATATGCTAGGCAAGCAGTCTACTGCTGAGCTACAATCTCAGCCCCTGATACTGGTTTTAGACATGTTGAATTCAAGATGACAGTGGTTCATTCACAGGAAATGTCAGTGTACAATTGGAAATTGGAAATGTAGGCTTGAAGCCTGGACTGAGCTTAAGTCTGGAAATGAGAATGGGTGCTATGGTTTTAAATAAGTTTGCCCCAAGATGAGCAGAGGTTGAGCCTTGGGGAATGTGCATGGGCTGTGAGGAAGGAAGTTAGAAACCCAAAGAATATGAAGGAGAAAGTTCCAAGAATGGAAGAGTATAGGACAGCAGTGATCACTGAAAAGGGACCTTAAGGGAGGCTGCTGAATTTGTGTCAGGGTCTTTATAAATGGCCTTAAGGAATATAATGTCATGACAGGGAAGGGAGAGGAAGCTAGTTTGCATGGGGTCAGATGCCAAGGAAGGATAAAGAATGGAAATTTTACTAAGACAGATCGCTGGTGGAGTAGTCAATGAAGAGAGACACATAAGATTTAGGTATATGCACGTTAAAATAGCCTTTTCATTAGCTTTGAGGCAGGCAAAGCATGCTGTGATCAGTTCTCATTGCCTTCTTTGGAGTCTAGTTGTGTTGGAAGTTTGTGTACACTGAGCTCGTGATTGGTTCTTAGGCTTTCTTTGAGCTGTGGTGTTCCTAATTCTGCCTCAACTTGTACCACAGAATCCAACCCATGTTTGAGCTTTTGCCATGAGACAAGATGTGATCTATTGGGGGAAATTGTTGCATTTGCTTAAATTGGTGAAGAAATCAGAGTCACTGTATCCCCAGTGTCTAGCACAGAGCTGGTCATGTAGTGTGTTATGTATGCATGATTTATTTGTTGCTTCCAATGAGCCAGGTAACTTGGGACTTGATGATTAGCCTCTGTGTGCAGGCACTGCTCTTGGCACCACAGTTTCAGAGGTGACACAGGACAGGGTCTCTGTCATCACAAGGCATGTGTTCCAGACAGATGAGATGTCTAATGTGGTGTCAGACACCATCATGCTTCGAAGTAAAGTGAGGTGGAGGGTGGAAAGTGATGAGGCTGCCGATTAGGTGGGTGGTCAGGAAAGGCCTCTTGACAGTGTGCCATGAGCCTATGGGGAACCATCAAAACGATGTTCTTGGAGTTGACTGTCAGCTGAGCCTTTAACATTTCCATTTTTTTGCCCCCTTGGCTGCATTGTCTGCTGCTCCTCCTGCAAGGGCTTCCTCCTGAGGCCTCTCTCTGGCCATGCTGAGCATTCCTTGCCTCAGATCCTAGTCTTCACAGCCTGCTTTGCCCATTTTCTTTTCTTTATTGTTAGCTTCAGATTTTGCTTGGTCCCTTTTACACCATCCCTGGTGTTCTCCCTGGTGAGCTCATTCATACTTTCTCTGTCCTGAAAACCCACAGAGCTACCTCTTAGCCAGACCTCCCCAACCTACCCTCCAGCTGTCAGACTCCTCTCTTCCCCAAATGCCCATTGCCTGGCTTCCTGGGGTCCACCTCCAACCCTCAGTTGTCTCTACTTCCTCACTTATCTTTGACTTGTGCTTTCACTCCACTGTCATACTGTATTGGCTACCAATTCGTGATGATCCCATCTTCTAATCTGTCAACTCATTTTTCCTCTTTTTCCACCCTTTTGTTTAGGACTCATCATTTGGATTTTTTTTTCTCAGTGCTTGAATTTAAACTTGCTTACAGAGTGCCTGCTTGCTAGGCAGGCACTGAGCCATGACTCTAGCCCTGGATTTAACAACAGCCTCTTAATTGGTCATTCTGTCCATCTTTCTCTTTCCCCATCCCCCCCCCAGACTCTTGTGAACATGATGTTTCTAATTCACACCTCTTGTTGTGGCTTTCTTCTGCTTAAAACTCTTCATGGGCTCCTCAGTGCACACAGAATAAAAGTCACAAGGCCCCTGAATAAGTCTGTACCCTTTTATAACCATCTTCCTCATTCTGCTTTTTCCCTAGCCACAGTTCCAACCTTAGTCCAGCCACTAACAGCCATCACCTTTGGTGCCTCTGCCAGTCTGGGTCCTCTCCTGGGAATGACCTTGCCCCTGCTCTCCATCTAGGTGACTCAGCTCTTTGTTCTCCTGTACACCCCACTCCTTCCCCCGACCTGGAAGTGACCTTCCTCCTCCCTTCCAGAACACCCTACATGGCTAGTTGTTCTAAAGCACTTATCAAGTGTAGCTGTTGACTTACTTATCTGCTGTGCTCAGTAAACTGAGCTCCTTAAGGGTGGAGAACACACACATAAACACACACACACACACACACACACACACACATAAACACACACACAATCTCTGTGTTCCCAGTGCCAGCTCAGGAAGTGCACCTGGCTCAGGAAGTGTTTGTTGCAAAAGTGAGAATAGCAAAGTCTGTGCAGCCAAACAGCAGATTTGTAATATGATCGAATGTACTTGAAATTGGAGATTCCCTGGGCATTGGTTTTGGTGGGGCCAAACCTTCCTAGCTTCAAGTGCAGGACAGGTAGTTCTAGACTTGGGTTTGTGACTGTCTGTTGTGTCTCCCTGCATACAAAGACCTCAGGAATGTTACTTCTCTATATTCTTTGCCTCTGACTTTCATTTGTTTTTTTGTTCCTCTTATTGATTGAATAATAATTGCAATTCAGGATGAAAAACAGTCCATCAAGGATTCTTAGGAATGAGGTCCACTCAGCTTGGTCTTGGATGTAAACCAATTTCTCTAAATTAGCCAAAACATTGATTCTTGCCAACTTCTATTTGATAGCCTTTCTCCCCCACAGTCTGGCGGAGATTGTATTTCAGGCTGGAGATGAGGTTCCTGAGTGGTCCTCTGTAGAGGAGGATGCCAAGGGCACCCTTATCTCCTCTTGGTACCTTGTGAGGTCCTCAGTGAATGTGTGCTAAGGAGTAATATGAACAGGAGGAAAGTTTGATTTGGGGAATCCCAGGTTAAGTGTCCAGATTCTCCACAGGAGCTGGCACAGTGCAGAGTCTATAGCCAATAAATTCCATGTTCTCATGGGGACTTCAGCTTGACGCTCATCTTCTTCACTTCCTACTTCTGTCACAGAACTGGGAAATTGGCCCAAGAATGCAGCTTTTATTTGGGGGTTCACAGTAAGCAGAGAAGGCTTCCCAGAGGAGAGCCATTCTCAGCACAGGTGTCCTGCTGACCAGGGTGCCCCAGCAGGCTGGGGGAACTGTTTTCCTTGCCTGGAAGTACTAATGCTGCTGCCTTTCCTTGGAGGGACTTCATATAGTTGCTTCCTTTGCCTGGAATGATTTTCCTCCTGCTTTGCCTAGTCTTCCTGCTCAGATGGTTCTGTGGGAGCCTCTCTTGACTTCCTAATGAGAAGGCTGGGTCTTATTCCTTCTCTCATGTCATTATCCATTGATGTTCAACTGCTCATCCTGTGTCAAGTGTCATATTAGGGTCTTGGTAGATGTTGGCTGAGTAAAGTGTTATTACCCCAAAGACACCATGTGAGGAAACTGAGGCCTCAACTGACTGAGTCTGTGGTTCTAGGTGGCAGCCTGCAGGGGTGTGCTTGCCTGTTCTTTCACACCCTACAGGCCCTCTGCCACATGTCCCAGCAGCCTATACTCCTGCTCATCCCTAGCACATGTCACAGAAGTCAGCTGCACTTATTTGTGTGGTTATTAGATTAATGAATGTTTGTTCTTCCCTTGGGCAGCCCCTGTGGGCCACAGGACAGTCGGAGTACCCAGGACTCTAGGTGTGTGCCCCACACAGAGTTAAGACTGCCCACTCACCTATGGTGTCTTCCTGCTTATCGCATCAAGCAGGATTGTTCTCTGACCATAAAAAAGCCACCTTGGGCTTTTATGTCCTGGAGCTTCCCAGCTGGGTGCCAGGGGTTCTGGCCTTAGGCTTGTGGAGTCTGTTCCTTTGTTCACTCTTTTCACCCTTTTCTCTATCCTGTATCCCCTTGGCCTCCTGGGTCAGAGTCATCTACTCTTCTTCTGATGTCTGGACCTGCCATATTCTGAGGATGACTGACTATGTGGGTCGTAATAACCTGTGTGCCTGCTGTCCTTGTCCTTCCAAAGTCTGTTGGGACAGGAACAGTACTGGCCTGTGGTCTCTGTGGCCAGGCGATGCTTTGGACAGTCAGGGATTAGGGCTCTGCAGAAGAAGGGAGAACCAGAACCAGAAGTTATTACCTTAAGATAGCTGCTCCGGGATGTAGTTTGTGTGTGTGTTTCTTGCACAATGTTTTTACTTGCATAGTTTATCACCCTGCTCAATTTATCACCCTGCTCTATCTCCC